ATAAAGTCATAGCTGCACATTAACAAATTTGTACAAAAGTTTTAGATGGGACAGAGGTTTTTGTTTGCTTGCTTGCTTTCATTCAAATACAAGCAAAAATTTATTTAGAAAGTCACAGAGGTAGAAAAGGTGAGCCAGCTGGTCTGTGTGGGCTCAGGAAACAAGTTACAGAGGCAGGAGAAGGGCCCTTGGAGCTTAGGGGAGAGAAGGAGAGAAGAGCGCAGTGGTAGGTACCTTGGGGGAAGAAGAGGGAGAAAGGTATGGGCTGCTGTGGAGAGAGGGAGAGAAAGAGGGAGGGAGAGAGAGACGGAGGCAGGTGCGCACCAGGACAGAGTTTTTAATATTCAAGAAATGTACTTTTTAAAATTTTTTAAAAATATATCTTTATTGATTTCATAGAGGGAGAGAGAGATAGAAACGTCAGTGATGAGAGAGTCAATGATTGGCTGCCTCCTGCACGCCCTAGACTGGGGATCGAGCCCGCAGCCCGGGCATGTGCCCTGACCAGGAATCAAACCTCGATCTCCTGGATCCTATGTCAGTGCTCAACCACTGAGCCACTTCTGGCTGGGCAAGAAATATACTTTTAATCTTTTTAGAAGCTGAATAACAGACTGCTAGCTAATGATAAGTATTTGTCAAATCTTGACAAATACTGGAGTTTGAACCTTGGCTTTAACTTACGGGTAACTACACAAATATGTGTGTTCCTTTTTGTTCATTTTTAATCAGTTTCTGTAAGCCTAAATGGGGTCCCATATCCTATCTAGAATCAGTTGGGCCCAGCAATGTTTGCCATCTCAGAAAAGTTAGGTTTGTTAGCACGGCTTCTTTGGGCAGGTGAATTTGCCCAAGGCCTACCTGAAAGTGTCAGTAGCTGCTGTCTTGGTGGTCTGGCACCCAAAATACCAACCACTTCAGAGGTCCTCAGAGTGGCTGACAGTCTTAGGGATACATACAGGCATGGGCAAAAGTAGGTTTACAGTTGTATGTGAGACACAGAGTTAATAAACCTGTTGTAATCATCGTAACCTGCATCTCTTTTTCCATCCAAATGACTACTGTAAACCTACTTTTGCCCACCCCTGTACATGTAATTCAGCAAAGAACTATGAAAAATTCAATTTTAATTACACAGTAACATCAGTTTGATTAAATATGAAGTGTTAACTACCTATTTTTTCCTGTGAACACCAAGAAGATAACTTTTGGGGCAATATTTAGAGAATAGCATAGCCACAGGTTATTGTCTTCTACTCCACACCCATTGCTAACAGAATCTTGGGCAGGACACTCATTCCAGTTCTCTCTGAGTCAGGTCCCTCCCAGGTTGTGTCAGCTTTGTGTTGTAGTCTTTTGGGGGTTTACTATGGCAGCGCAAAACCTCTCCAACACTTGTATCTGTTAGTTTCTCAAAGTGGGATGTCACCATCGCTCTTTGGTCCATCTTCGCTAATAAGCCCTAGAAGTACCTTCTGATGACAAGCCTTGGTTCATTCTAGTTTCAGCCATTTCCTGCTCCTTTCTTTCTCTCTTACCTATTCATAGTTTATAGGCGTTAAAGCTACAAGTACGTCAGAAATTATCTAGTCCACTTTTCCTATTTTATGGAAGAGGAGTCTGAGGCCTGGAGAAGTTAAGGGCTTTACCTGAGATCATGCAGTTTTCTTGAGGTCCAGCCTGTGTTCTTGTTAAACTCGGTGACACATTACTTCAGGGTTTGAAAGTTCAGTAGTGGAAATACAGCAGTCACTGCATGGTGCCACCCACCTCCCACTAGGTCTCACCAGGCACCAGGCACCAGGCCAGACCAGAGTCTACTGTCACCCCTGTTTCTGGGAATGAGACACTGGTGGGAGAGATGCTTTGCTTGAAATAGTAAAGGATACTGATGAGCACATCTTTAAAATTCCTGGGGTGTCTGTCTAAGTCAGGAAACATTGTTTACTTTTCTGATGGCATCTTAGAGGAAGCTCTCTGCTCAATTCTTACTGGTTCCTAGGTGCGTGGGAAGGCTGTGAATACAGTAACTCCACCTATGGCACAGACACTGGGCAGCACCAGAACCGAAGCGCCCTCTACAGGAGAACATTGGTGCTCACCTGGGTCCCAGCCAAACTTCCACTGCGGCACCTCCTCCCTCCCCCACTTCTGTACAAATTGTTCACAGCTTCGTCACTGGTGTTTCTTTCCTCTGCCCCCACTGTAATGCAAGTCAGCATTCCACCTCTTTTCCTGGGTCTTCCCTCAACATCACTGCCTCTCCTCCATCCAGCAGGTGCTCAGTGAGGCTGTGCTGTGAGTGTACTTGGAGAGTCATCCTGAGCATCCCCAGAACCAGAGACTGCTCTTTGCACATTCACTCAGCCCCTGGAAGGCTCCTCTAGCCTTCACAAGTCAGGAATAAAATTTCATTGGCATTTGCAGCAGTAGGTAGAAAAACACTCTAGCTTGGCTGGGCTTGGCTCAGCGGTTGAGCATTCACCTAGGATCCAGGAGATCACAGTTGGATTCCCGGCCAGGGCACATGCCCAGGTTGCAGGCTCGATCCCCAGTGAGGGGCATGCAGGAGGCAGCCAATCAATGACTCTCTCATCGATGTTTCTCTGTCTCTCTCTCTCTCCCCCTTCCTCTCTCTGAAATCAATAAAGATACTAAAAAGAAAACCCACTCTAACTACACTTAAAATAGTCTCTCTTCCCTCCTCTGCCACATTTTTGGGAAAAGGCTGACGCTAACTGATTATTTGCAGGACTTCACTGTCCCTTCTAGTGTTTCAAGAGGCATTTTTTAGAGATTAATGATGTGGGTTAGAGAGCAAGAAGAATGAGCCCCCCCTTGGTCTGGCCCACCTGTCATGTCGTCCCTGCCGCCCTGTGCTCCCTGTGTGTCAGCCAGGGAGGTGTTAATGACAACCAGGTGTGGAAACACTTGCACCAGCTGCAACAGTGGGACTATTTAAAAAACAAACAAACAGAAACTACTTCTTAGGAAAAACAGTCAACAGTGGCAACACCTACCTACCTGGCCAGCAGGTTACCCAGTTGCATTCCAGTTACTTGAATGAATTTTATCTTCCTTCCCGTAACACTTATTCTCCCGCCCTATGTCACTAGCATTGCTTACTGTTTTTTCTAAAAACTGGTTCCAACCGCCTTCATCAGCCAGTTGGTTCCTACGCACTGCAGTTGAACCAGGGCTTCCCTGGCCTCTGGGGGCCTCCCCGGCACTGCAGGGCAGTCGGGGCTTCAGCCAGGAGACGGCAGGTGCTGTAGCAACAGAGAGAAGGGAGCGACCCATTATACTTTCTCCTGGGGGTGAGCCACAGGAAAGAAGAAGGGAGTTGGGGAAAAGGTGAACAGATGTATTTTCCTGCTGCAGAGACAGAAAAACTCAGGGCCCCTGGCTGCACTCTTCTGGCTCCTTCTCCCTGTATCTCTTTCATCCGCTCCAGTCTTCTGGGCTCTTCTCCCTGCCCTGCTCCCCACCAAATTCAGACGTGACTTGCACCTGCTTTAGCCTCAGGTTCTTTAGCTATGGATTCAAAACCTTTCTCTAAGGTTGCTCCCAGGTAAAAAAATCTGATTCTGTACCTTCCCTGGAATCAGAAATGCTTGTACCACAGCTCCGACGTGTAGAAGGCTCCTAGACACGAGCTCTGCGAGTTTATTCCCTTTCAGTGACTTCACTACAGTGAGGGTTTCCAAGGCGCGGTGCAGACAGCGCCTGCTACCCAGGCTGTCACGTAACCCAGTCTTTCTCCAAGTAGTGTTTAGGAACTTACAACAGTGTGCTATAAAAAGAGATGGGTTTCATACAAAATGCTTCTTCACTCAGGGAATTCTTTCTTAAGGTCTTCTAAGGGACTCCCTCTAGTCACTGGGAAATGAAAGCCAATGGCCCAGTAAAACAAGTAACATATCCAAGTTCCAACTCGACCATCGCCCTCTACCTGCCTCCACCTCCCAGTTCACTGGCCCAAATTGTTGGTTTCAACCCTTTTACCCTTTTACTGCAGACTACAGTGAGAAATACATTTTACATTTAGACCCACCACACACAACACACACGTATGCAGATGGTCATTTACAAAAGAAAAAAATTCAGCAGACTGTTATTTCTATTCTTTTCTTTTTGTTGTTGTTTTAATGCTAATTATAACCCACTAAAATTATTTTAGGGCTGTCTAAAATGGGCTGCAAGCAAACACATATTAGTCCTAAAATCAAAAACTTTAGAACAGCCCTGGCTGGGTAGTTTGGTTGGTTAGAGCATTGTCCCGATACACCAAGGTTGCAGGTTCAATCCCCAGTCAGGGCACATACAAGAATCAACCTGATGGAGAGAAGGCGTATGTTTGACTGGCTCCTGACTGATGCTTTGGATGTTGCCAACAAAATTAGGGTCATCTAAACTGAGTCCAGCTGGCTAATACTAAATATAAAAGTTTTTCACTGTAAAAAAGAGACTCCCAGTATTCCCCTCATGTTGGTATTTCTTGAAGTTTTGAATTCTGGGCAAAGGTAACTGGACCCGAGCCTCGCTTTTACAAAACAGTTATTACAGCTGCCTGCTGCCATGTAATACCCGTTTCCCAGTTGCATGAGGTGTTCAAGCTGGGCTGAGACTGTGGGAGAGAAAGAAAAAGAAGATGCTCTAGTAGAATATAGAGCATCTTCAGTAGGGGAGAGCGGCTGTAAGAAGAGGGGCTTTAGTTGGCTGGGCTTGGTTTCAAAGGGGGTGTGGGGAAAGGGCGTGGCCGTGAATAAGTTTGTCCGTAGAGCACAAGAATGGGGCTCATGTGTGGAGACACACTTGGAAAGATGAGCCAGGGCATTAAATTTGGCCCTCTGGCCACATCTCAGAGCCTCACAGAGGCTGCGTGTGCCCGGAATAACCTGTGTCAGGGCTGTTACATGACACACCTAATGCGGGCGTGTGAAAGCGTTTCTCTTGGGGCCCTCCCTGAATTGGCCCCTCCCCCCTTCTCTCCCCTGCAGCACGCTGTCCAAGTGCTGCCACGCGATGGTGGCCATCACCTACCCCTTCACCTGGCAGCACACCTACATCCCCGTGCTGCCGCCGGCCATGATCGACATCGTGTGCTCGCCAACCCCCTTCCTCATCGGGCTGCTCACCAGCTCACTGCCCCTGCTCAGGGAGCTGCCCCTGGAAGAGGTGAGCTCCTAGGAGGTCCCTGTTCCCTCCTGGTGGGGCAGAGGGCAGAGGGCAGAGGGAAGGTGCTGCCTAGGGGGTGTCCCTTCCCCTGAGGAACACAGGGCAGAGGGAAGGTGCTCCTTAGGGGATGTTCCTGTCCCTCCTGTGAGGGGCAGAGGGCAAAGGGGAGGTCCTGGCCAAGGCTGTGAGACAACCAGTGTGAGAGTGGGGGACCCCACAGCTTTGTCTAAGAGGTAGCCACCACCTCTTAGTGGCTACTCCCAAGTCTGCCAATAGGTCCTTTATCATATCAGTAAAGAAACAACCACCAAAATGTTTTTAATGATCAAGTTCTGGGTTTTCAGGTTTGTGTCCAGGTGGAGAAAGTCTTACTTGGCATTTCTGTGGTTTTTGGTCCCAGCCCCTTCCTCTAAATAGTCTCTGTCCCCATGCACTAAGAACTCCCAGCAGTCAGAGAGGGAGGAACAGAGGACTGAATGATGCCACTCACCCCTGAATCCCTGAGGGACACCTGCCCTGAAATTCAACCTGAGTCCCCAGATGTGGCTTTTCTAATCCGGGTAGTCCTAAGATCTCATTCATCTTACCAGCAGGCTCAAGTCCTCAGGTGTAGGTTTGTGAGCTACAAGAAGTTTGAACACCCTGTGATCCCTCATATGGCTCAGTTCAGTCCAGAGGAGTGTTTGAGAAGGAAGGAGAACACTCCTTCAGCTCCTGGGCAGGGTCCCTGGGTGTGTTAGAGCCCATGTTTCTCTGTGGAAACCTGGTGGCCATGCAGGCCCCCTGCTCCTCCTTCCTCATAGCCAGTGGCCTGTGCTGAGGCCTGAGAGAAGGTCTCACTCTCAGGGCACTGCAAGCAAAGGCCTGGCACCTGCATCACCCTGGTTCTGGCCCTGGGCCTCAGTCCCGCTCTGGGGACGGAGGGGGAGGTGCTTTATCTGAAACCCTTGACTAATGAAAGCCCAGCACCTGCAGCTTGGTTGCTCCCCAGATGGATCCACTCCTCTAGGTTTCTCCCCTCCTCCCATTAGGAGAAGTAACAGGGCCAAGTGGATATCAGGAGGAAGGAGAGAGAACTCCGAGCGTGGAGAGGCAGAGTCAAGTGGAAGAGGCACAAGTGGGGGCCTCTAGCCCCTCTCGTCCGCCCTGAGAGGCCTGCGTCAGCCAGCCGGGAACAGGCAGGGAGTCCAGCCCGTGGCACACATGTTCCAGCCTGTGGTCTCGGTGTTGACAGCACACGATTCGGGAAAGCCCTGCTCCCCACCTCCCCTCTTCATCACTTGTGGCTACAGTGGCAACGTCAGGAAACCACAAATGGC